TTAAGTACAAAATACGTTAGGAAAATACGTTTTAACATATGTACCCGTTTACATAATTGTAAAAATAATTTGATTTGAAATAAAGTAAAGTTACTGATTTGAAATAAAGTAAAGTTACTGATTTGAAATAAAGTAAAGTTATTGATTTGAAATAAAGTAGATTTGAAATAAAGTAAAAAAATCGATATATATATCGAACGAACGAATGAATCGTTCATTCAATATTTCACTCTCTTATATAACTCTCTCATTCTTCTTCAATATATAACTCTCTTATATAACTCTCTCATTCTTCTTCAATATATAACTCTCTCATTCTTCAATATACATCAAATATGGGAGAAGATTTGATAACAACACCAGAATTTTTCACCAACGAGGTACAATATTATGTTAATTGATATTTAGGTTTATTAATACTAACTTGTACAAATGAAAGTTATAATTTTTTTTCCAGATGTTCAATTCTCGGGAAGAAATAACTGAGTTGGTGCACAATGTGCGGCGTTCAGTTGGTTGTGTTGTTGTTACGAAAAGATCAAAGACAAAGCCAAATGGGAATGTTTATAAAGTTGTGTTTATGTGTGAACACGGCGGAGCTTACAAAAATAAAATAATTCTCATTCGTCATACGGRAACAAAAAAATTTGGATGCCCATTTGAGTTGATAGCGCTATTTTCGGCTAAACATAGTTGGTGGACGTTGACGGTGGTATGCGATGCACATAATCATGTTCTTGCACAATATATAGAGGGTCATGCATATGCAATGCGGCTAAATGAAATTGAAGCTCAACTAGTTGAAGATCTATCAGCCCAACATGTCAAGCCACGACACATCTTATCCACGTTAAAGGGTAGACATACGGGAAATGCATCTACGTCAAAAACAATATACAATGAACAACAAAAGATTAAGACAACAAACGATGCARGAAGACCACAAATGCAGGTTGTTGTTGATTTTTTTGTTAACAAAAATTATGATTTTGAGACTCGTGTTAATGACGAAACAAACGAGTTGGAAGATTTATTCTTCATTCATCCAAGATCATTTGAGCTTTGGCGTGCATTCCCACAAGTGTTAGTCATCGATGCCACATATAAAACAAATAGGTACCTTAATATGCATGTCTATTATGTTAATGTCAATATTATTATTTTTTAACATTGTTATTTTCTTTAACATCATTATTTTGTTAATTTATTATTCAGGTACGACATGCCTCTTCTTGAGATAGTTGGTGTAACATCGACCAACTTGACATTTTGCATAGCATTTGTTTTCATGCATCAAGAAAAGATATCAAATTATACTTGGGCGTTAGATTGTCTAAAGTCAAAAATATGCGATAACTTTTACCCAGCTGTCATAGTCACAGACAGAGAGTTGGCATTGATTAAAGCATGTAGAGTGGTATTTCCGGGTGCTAAACAGTTACTCTGTAGATGRCACATCTTTYAAAATATTTTGAAACATTGTAGACCATCGATTCACGAGTCGCACTCATGGAGTACTTTTTGTCAATTATGGTTGCAATTACTTGAATCTCAAAATCAGAAATGGTACACGTACAACTAGGGACAACTTCAAGAAAATCTGCTCGCCTATCCAGGTATTCTTGATATAAGATAGTTTAATCATTGTTACTAAAGATATTGACATATGTATGTTGTATTTTTTCAGGTGTTATGAATTACTTGAACAATGTATGGTTGACACCATATAAAGAAATRTTTGTATCTGCTTGGGTTGATCAGGTTTTAAACTTTGGAAATCACACAACAAACAGAGTTGAAAGCCAACATTCCAAACTAAAATTATTTTTGGAAACTTCCCGAGCAGACTTACAAAGAATTTTATCTCACATCCATCAAGTAATCAAGTCACAGGACACATCGATTAGAGCAAGTTTTGAACAATGTAGAACGATTAGGAAACACCGATTTGGAAACTCACACTTTCAAAATTTGTGGGGATTTGTTTCATTTCATGCACTTGATATGATTTACACTGAAAATGAACGGTCTTTCCAAACTAGCGTATTTTCTGAAAAGTGTGGTTGTAAATTGCGTAGAAGTCATGGGTTGCCTTGTGCTCATGAACAAGCACTGTATTCATGTCAAGGCATACCCATTCCACTTGATGCAATCGATATATTTTGGAAAAAACTTGATTTTTCACCATGTATGTCCACACAAGATGACGAGATTGGATGTGATGATGAAGTTCAATTGTTCAAAGAAAAATTTAATAAGCAGTTGTATCATGGTCGTAAAAGCTTACTCAAAAAGTTGAAGGATATAATAATGCCATCAAAACCGTTCGATGAACCCTCGGTTCATAGAACCACTCGTGGCCGTACATCTACAAAGAGTCAAGCTTTGAATAAAAGAATTATTGAAGACCGTAGACGTAGTTGTTCTAACGTGCCATCAGTTATTAACTCTGAAGATTTGAGGCATCAAGAATCAACGAGGCATAGTTCCTATTTCCAACGACAACCCACCACCCGACATCCGTATCTTGATCAAATCCCGAGTTTATTTCATCCATATGTCATACAAATACAAGATGTATTAGGCGATGGAAATTGTGGATTTCGAGCGATATCTACTTGTCTGGATGGTCATGAAGACAAATGGGACAATATCCGCAAAGAGTTAATGATTGAACTAACTGAGTATGGACAATATTACTCCTATGTGATTGGCGATGAGTGCTTACGCATTCACGAAGCGCTAATTTTTTTCCAAAAGGGCGTCTTTGCACCAGTTGCACATTGGATTGTTATGCCTGAAATGGGCATTCTAACGGCTTCCAGGTTCAATGTCATACTGCATGTTCTCAATATGGCAGGCAGTGTGACATACTTACCGTTTAGGACACAACCTCTGTCGTCATCTCAACACGTTGCAATTGCAATAGTGCATGTTAATGGTAACCATTACATAAAGGTGGTATTATATGAAGAATATCCAATGCCCACATTTACGCACCATTGGACATGTTATCGTTTTGAAGATGCAAGTACATGGATTGTCCCGTATCAACATAGATTCAATGCATATGAAGAATATATAGAGCGTACTCTTACTCGTGAATATGTTGATTTAACATGAAAAATCAAAGTTTTAATTAATAAATTTAATTTATATTTGAAATATGTATTATTAATATTTTATTATTATATAGAGCGTACTCTTACTCGTGAATATGTTGATTTAACATGAAAAATCAAAGTTTTAATTAATAAATTTAATTTATATTTGAAATATGTATTATTAATATTTTATTATTATATAGAGCGTACTCTTACTCGTGAATATGTTGATTTAACATGAAAAATCAAAGTTTTAATTAATAAATTTAATTTATATTTGAAATATGTATTATTAATATTTTATTATTATGTATTATTAATATTTAATTAATTAATAATAATATAAAACATGTTAAAAAAGTAAAGAGTTAAAAGTTAAAATATAAAAAGGTTAAGGTTAAAAGTTATAATATAAAAAGGTTAAAAATGAAAATATTTGAGTTTTGTCATTTAGTTTTTTTTTTTGTCCATTAGTATAGGGGGGTGCATAAAATTGGTAGGAGGGGGTGGGGTTAGAAAACCCCTTCCCAGTGTGCTTTCGGTATCAACCAATTAATGTATTCTTTTTATTTTATTCCTAAGTTAAATACACTTTAACATTTTGATTAGTGATCAACTTGTCAATTATGAACTTGAACTTTAAGCGAATAATATATATATATATATGTGTGTGTGTGTGTGTGTGTGTGTGTGTATGTGTGTGTGTGTGTGTAGGGTTGGATTGGGTTCACGTGAGACCAAGGGTTTTTCGTGAGACCTATAAGACCAATTTATGTTCATTGGTCAACTTTATAAGCTAATGATTTAATGATCTAAAGTTGCACGGTGACAATTTTATGATTATTGAGAAGTCTCGTGGCAATTTTGTGATTATGAATGTTTAAATTGTAGATCTAATCCAAGGGTTGAGAATTGGTCTTACGGGTCTCACGAAAAACCTTCGGTCTCACATGATTCCAAGTCTGTGTGTGTGTGTATATATATATATATATATATATATATGATTCCAAGTCTGTGTGTGTGTATATATATATATATATATATATATATATATATATATATATAAGAGAGAGAGAAGAAACACATGAAATGTAATCTTTTTATTTAACATAGAGAATAAACAACTGTAATAAATGGTAACAACAACAATAAAAAGAATGATGATGTGTGGCTGAAAAATTAAAGAAAAGTTTTAATTATTTGATGCTTATTAGGAAACTAAAATCACTAGAAAGTTAATGTTTGCATGTGAAGTTAAAGCTAATGTTATCCAAAACCACTAATAAGATTCCACTAGGCCTGCTTATACACAAAACAAGTTTTTCTTACAAAAGTATAAGTAAAAAACTCAAAATTATGGCTCATTTCATTTGATAAACTTGGACTTTTCTTCCAACGAAAATCCCCTCATTGCCAAACACGAATATTTCAATCTTTACGCATGATTTCCGAAAAGTTCATGCAGTACCGCATCACATCTTTGAATTCACTAGCAACAGTAAAAACCATGCATGCCAATGCAGCAGTATTAACCTATGTTTTTTTGGAAATTTTGTTATAGTTAGTAGAAAATTAATAGAAATGCTATGAAAAATCAAATTTCTAGCTTCATACATTTACAGAATGTAAAATAAGAACACAAAGGACTCAAATTACTCAATTGGAAAAGAAAAACAAGGGAAAATGATGATGTAACATCGATTAGACTTGCAATAATTGTAGAGAATGTTTCAATGAAGGATTGGAGTTTTCAAGTTGAGAGAATACAATTGCAAGGGCTATATGTTGGTCCCGAAAGGGTCTACAAGATAAGAAACAATTTGTAGAAGGGGGGGATGAATACAAACACAATGTTTTCAAATTTAAAATATATATTGATAGAGAAGATCAATACAGATTTTACAAGACTGTTTGTGGAAAGATAAGGTAAAGAAAAACC